TGGTAATGTTTGCAATAAAAATAGTTTACATAAAAGATGCCTCAACTTGATGAGGTGGGATATATCCCTGCAATCTCATGGCAGAAGGTTTTAGGCATAGGCAATCTTTCATAGTTAAAGTATTAATTTACCTAAACACTTGTCTTTGATTAGAGCCTTGTTTCAATGGTAACCTCAAGGTCCAGGCCAACAAGACCATCTTATAGGTTCCAGGACTTGGAATCAGGTTCAAATCCCATCTGAGATACTTACTAGCAGTGAAATATGAGTCAAGCCACTTCAATAGAAAGGGGTGTGTGTGTGTGTGTGTGTGTGTGTGTGTGTGTGTGTGTGTGTGTGAGTGAGTGTGTGTGTGTGAGTGTGTGTGCAAAAACAAAAGGGGTTCAGGGAATCCCAAGGACCGAAGTAAGGACAGGGTTGTCTAGAATGAATTCATGGACTCAAGCATTCTTTAAGTCAAGTTGTCAAAGATTTGTTACTCTATTTAGCAGGCAAAAGTTCTTATGGAATCTGTGAATTTAGAGGGGGTATAGTTAAAGTTTATATGGGAAAGGCTGAAATGAAACATGTGCCAATTATGCTAACTAGGTGATGAGAGGTGGGGGAGGGGGAGTTAGGGCGTGGTTAAGGAGTGGTCAGTTCTTAAAAGAATATGCACTTTTTGTATCTACTGCTCAGGCATTTTACCTGGAGTTCACCAGAAAAAGCTCGATGGGTGGGGTTGGGGCAGAACAGAAAGGTGGGTTTTTTAGGTTTGCTATGTGACTAAGTTAACTAGAGGTCAGAGCCAACCAAGGATTGCCCAGTCTGCCACCAATCAGTATCTTGACAAGCTAGATGTAGGGAGAGTACATATGTCTAAAATCTAGGATACACATAATGAGGAGTCCAAGATGCATATAATGAGGTAGGGATAGTTCACTGGGTACTGAATATCTTTATGAGCCAGTACAAAGCCAGTTCAAACTAATAATTCCTACAGGTGCAGTTTGTTACTGCCCCAGGAAGACAGATAAGTGTTTTGCTGGGGCTCACTCATGAGTAATTTCTGGGCATAGTGTCCTTACGCTAGGGAGAAACTGCCAGGGATAGTGTTTTTGAGGCCAGGGAAAAATACGGTCTTGGAATTGGGGTCCAAGAACACGTACCCAAATTCTCCATCAGTGGGAGGGATTATTTCTGATTCAGAAATCAGGGAAGGCTACATGGAGGAGGGGGAATTTTATCTGCACCATAAGCCATAGATAGGATTTTAAATATAAGTCCCTCCCCTTTCCTCTGACTTCTAGGAAAATAACTGAAGGTAATTCCTCACAATTTTAGTAATCTCATAAATGATTTCGAATTTTAAGGTCAGAAAGAAAAGGGGTAAGGAAGGCCGAAGAGATGCGAAACAGACTTATTAATGAAATAAGAGAAGTACCAGTTAGTTCTGGCATTTCACATATAATTTCAGGGGAATGACTGATTAATTATCACCATCTATTTGCCTCCACAAAAACACCCAACCTTTTTACCTCTTGCTTTGAGATCCATAATTAAACAATACTTTGTTTCTAAATAGGGCATATCTATTTACCTTTTCTGCAGATTCTCAGACCAAAACACCTTTCCATGGCTTCCACTCCCCTTTATATGTAGGCTCACTCTAGTAGAAAGTAACCTCCTTGAAGGCAAGGACTGTCTCACTTTTATATTTGTATTCCCAGAGCCTAGTAAAGTTCCTGGCACACGTTCAGGTGTGGCCAACTCTTTGTGACCTGTGGACCATAGCACACCAAAACTGTCTATGGGATTTGGTTGGTTAAAAACACTGTAGTGGTTTGCCATTTCCTTCTTCACCCAGGCACATAGGTAGTTGCTCAATAAATGTTTTTGCATTCATTTGCTTAAGAAAATGAGAAAGTTGACTCAGGATAAGCCAAATCAAAAACTAATGATGATGATAACTGATATACGTGTATACACACACACACACACACACACACACACACACACACACACACAAACACACACATATCTTTCAGGTTTGCAGAGTATTTTGCATATAATAATCACTCAATCAACAAGTGTTTATTAAGTGTCTATTATGCACCAGAGACTGTGATAAGGTATCGGTGTAATTATCCTTACAGGCATACCACAGAGATTTGTGGGTTAGATTCTAGGCCACCACAATAAAGTGAAAATTGTAATAAAATGAATCCATCAAATTTTTCCCCAGTTTCCCAGTGCATATCAAAATCATGTTGACACTAAACTGTAGTCTATTATGTGTACAGTGGTGTCATGTCTGAAAAAAGGCATATACTTTAATTAAAAAATATTTTATTACTAAAAATGTCAACGATCATCTGAGCCTTCAGTGAGTCATAATCTTTTTGCTGCTGGAAGGTCTTGCCTTGATGTTGATGGCTGATGACTGATCAGGATGGTGGTTACTGAAGGTAACTGGGGTGGCTGTGACAATTTCCTAAAACAAGACAATGATGAAGGTGGCTGCATCAATTGCCTCTTCCTTTCATCTGAACACTTAGAGACCACTGCAGAGTTATTAATCAGCCTGATTTCAATACTGTTGTGTCTCAGGGAATAGGGAGAGAAATGGGGGCATGGCCAGTTGGTGAAGCAGTTGAACATACCCAACGTTTTCAGTTAATTTCATCCTCTTAGATGGGCCCAGTTTATGGTGCCCCAAAACAATCACAATAGTAATCTCAAAGATCATTGATCCCAAAACACCATAACAGACTTAATAATGAGTAAAAAGTTTGAAATATTGTGAGAATAACCAAAACATGACACAAAGACATGATGCAACCAAATGCTGTTGCAAAAAAAAAATGGCACTGATAGACTTCCTTGATGCAAGATTGCCACAAACCTTCAATTTCCGAAAAATGCAGTATCCATGAAACACCATAAAATGAGGTATGCCTCTGTTTTACAGATGAAGAAACTGATCCTGAGAAAGAGGTTAAGTGACCTGGCCCAGGGTCACACAGCTATGAAATATGGGAAGCTTGATCCTAACCTATATCCTTTTGATTCCAAGTATATTCTAACACTCAGGATTCAAGGCCACCTGAAGGCTTCTGCTGCCATATACATTTTAAGTCAGGAAAACTTCACATTTTGTTCTTCTGATAGCCTCTCATGCACAGATCAAGGAAATAGACCAGTGTTTCTGCAACTCTGTCCTGTTTGGGAAAATGTAGATGCTAACAGTAATGATCTGGGAACTAGAAACAAGATGGAGGGAGGTTTCTCTTCTCTCCCTTCCTCAAACTGAACTGAAGGAAGGTGGGTAGGGTGGGGAAGAAATATACATAAAGCCAGGGACAGGAGTATCACATCAGCCAGTGTTTCTGAGGGTTGCTGAAGGGCCCAGCATAAATAGGACTGAGATAGGGTTGTAGCATAATAATTGCTGGTGAGACAAAGGTCCTCACATAAGTTCAAGATACAGTTTTAGGCAAAATTAGAAGAGACTTGCAGAAACAAGGAAGGGGTGGAAAACAAGGCTACTCTGAGAAAAGAAATGCCTGCCAGATGCAGGAAAGGGAGGATTTTACTACATTTGATTCAGCCTTCTGTGTGATCTGAAGTGAGTAAGTAGTTACAGATCCCAAAAGGCCATGGGATCAGAAGATTTCAGCACCATATAATAAACATTCAGCATAAAAGCAATCTTAACTTCTTCCATTTTGCTCCAAAACGTAATCAAATTTTCTTTATCCTGAGGGGCAATTCCATCTAATCACACCAGCATTTAATATATGGATTCCTTCAGTCTGTTGCAGTCCATTGTAAAGATCTCCATGGACAAGGTTGGAAACTCACTGAAGGATTGTGTAAATAGAATCAAATTTAGAAGGGATTTGACCTAACCCATCATTTTACAGATGAGGAAAATGACACCAAGGGGCAAAGGTCACCCAGGTAAACATCATCAGAGGCACAACTGAACCCAAGTTCTCTAACTCGAGAGCCAATACTCGTTCCACTGGGCTACACTACTTCAAAGCAATCGACAAATTGAGAAAATCCTTTTTGGTATTAAAAGACTTTTACGATCTGGCTCTCACTTTGCCCTGATTTAGCTGACATTGTGTTTCTCATATATTTCATGTTCCAAGACTTAGTTCACATTGTTTTTTTTCTCATGTTCTTCACGTTCCAAGACTGTATCCTATCTTTTTTAACTCATGCATGGCATTCTATCACCCATCTCTGGGCCTTTGCCTGAACTGGACCTCTTTCATGGCACGTACATTTCTAGCTTCCTTTAAGACTCAGTGGTAATGTCACAACCTACAGAAAGTCACCCCACAGGCCCCATCAAAATTACTTTATACTTATTTTTCATGTATTTTGTATACAATTGTCTACATACGTGTTGTTTGTCTCCAACAGAATATAAGCTCCTCATCCTCTAAAGGATCTGATTTTTTCATGTTTTTCATTGTATGCCTGAGCAGCTAGTTGGCACAGTGCATAGAGCAGTGGACTTGGAATTAGGAATGCTCATTTTTGTGAGTTCAAATCTGGACTCAGACCATTACTAGCTGTGTGACCCTGGGCAAGTCACTTAACCCTGTTTGCCACAGTTTCTCATCTGTAAAAGGAGCTGGAGAAAGAAATGACAAACCACTCCAGTGTCCTTGCTAAGAAAACTCCCAAAATGGGGTCCTAGAGAGTTGGACATGACTTAAATGACTGAACAACAACAGCTGTATTCCCAGAAACTAGTAGAGTGTCTTACATACAAGTAGGTATTTAATGAAATTAATCCAATTAAGGATGATTACCAGCAGCTTCCTTCACATGAAAAACAATACAATTTTTTGAACCAGATATTAAATTAGAATCCTAGCCCTTGTAGTTTGTTGACATAACCATCCCAAACACTAAGATTAAACAATGGGCTTTCTATCTGGCAAATTAACTCACTTGGGAAAGCTCATTGCTAAACGTCTATCACCAGCCACCCAACTTACTCAGTCTCTTAGCAGCCTCGAGAGCATCATTGGCTGTGTCAGCCACGAAGAACCTCTGCACCTTCACTCCATTGTCAGACATCAACTTTTTACTCTGGTATTCCTGTAGGTTCAGCCATCTTCTGGAGCTCCACTGAATGCCCTATGGAAGTCAGAAGGAGAAACAAGTAACCCTCATTAAGAACAGTTCCCACAAGGGTTAACTAAGCTGGAGAGTTTGTAGGATCATAGATCAGAGCTGAAGGGGACCTCAGAGACCCCTGAATCTAAACCTCTCTTTTTGCAGTTCCCTGAGACCCAGGGAAGTTAAGTGACTTACCCAAGGTCACACAGGTAAACGTATTAAAGATAGGACTGGAACCATGTTTTTATAACTTCAAAGCCAGTAGTATTTCCACGGTCCCCCACTGCTTCCCAAGTCTCACTACGACTCTCAGTTGCAAAAAAAAAAAATCATAAGAAATTGTGCTTTGACTGGCCAAACATACCAAGCAGTGTGTTATAAATATTATGGCTCTGGGTGGGGACAGGGAGCATGGAGTGCCAGCTTGACCAGTTTGGTTACCAATTACTAATGTAGACAGACTACCTTCAATTAGACCAAGTAAGCATATGTCGAGCATTGAATATGTGTAGGACCTTTGCCCAAGGGTATACAGGTTATATGAATGATGAGACATCCCCGCCTTCATGAGGAGCTACTTTTCAATGATACACAGGACTAGGAAATTAGTCATTAACTACATTTTTTGTTCAGCACAGCAAAACAGACTTTATTATCCTGAAAGGGTAAAACCTCTGCCCTTGGGCTACCATTTTGGTAGGGAAAATATTGGCTTCTCAAACATCAAATGAGGAGACACTTAATAACGAATCTCACCAACTCTTGGTTAGCTGTGCATCCTAGGAGGTGAGGAAGGGGCCAAGAGAATGACATGGATTAATGAATTATAAAGATTTCAGCATCAATGATGAAGTACACCTTTCACATCCTGGCAGAGAGGTGATGGACTAGCGGTACAAAATGACACATGGATTTTCAGTCAGGGCCAAAGTATTGGTCTTTTTTTTTTTTGGTTGATTAAACTTGGAAGAAGAGCTAATGGATTGTGACAAAGATTCAAGAAAAAAAGAGTATAAACATTAAAATACACAAAAGGAAACTAGAAAAAGGTCAGAAGAAGATGCATGTAGCAATGTTGTAATGTTAAATTTAATATACACTTTAAAAACTTGTATGTGACACTAATTCATGGTTTCAATTACCATCCTTTTTTTCTGTTCTTTGTATATGCAAATGTCCATGTTTGGTGACTTCTGTTAAGTTATTAGTAATAGTAATTAAAGTATGAAAAAATGTTAGAATTTCCATTTTGGTTAAAATATCCTATTTTCTTATCTAGAAAAAAAAGGACTGAGTTTAGCTTTATTTCTTTTCCTTTCTCTATTTATTCTTTGGTTAAAGGATGAATAAAGAAAAGGCAAAATAGTCTATAAATTGGATAGCCAGCTCGTGAATGCTTGACCATCACAAAATAAACATGTATTCCTTGACATGGATGACTGACAAAAGCAGATCCCAGCCACTATTTGCTTCTATAGATCATTTCCCAAGTTGCACCTTAATGTAGCTCTGTTTCTCAAACTCTGGCTTTCAAGGCACATATGGAACCATAGTTTTAAATCCACCTATTCCAAACTCCTCATTTTACACACCCAGAGAGATGAAGTGACTTGAAGCAATGTCTCCTAGCCCCTGACTCGAGAGAGAGATCTAGAAAATCTTTAGTATGAGAATACAATCATTCTGGAAAAACCCAAGACTATAGCAAAAGGTGTGTGCTGGGGAAAGAGGAGTTCAGACATATGCAGCACTCTATGACTACCTTCAGAAGTAAAACATGAGTCAATAGATTAAGTCTGTACTGACTTACTAATTTTAAACTTATTAACTGAAATAAAACAGTTTGAAAAGGGCATTTGAGATACACTAAATAACAGGCATAACGTGGTCAGGATCAATTCCTTTTCATTAGGATGCTCACAGTATTAATTTTAAAAATGTTAATGGAACCTGTTATACACACTAATTGTCATCGATCCACACCTCTGCTTCATAGATATATAATATATATTAAATATACATATTGATTGCAACGAAAACCTGAAGTAAAATCTGCTGGGTTTGAGTTTAAAAATGAAGCATTGGTTACAGTCCCAAAGCCACCAGGAGATGGCAGAAGATAATGTCACATAGGAGAGAGGTAGGAGGAGTCATTAACTACCATACTAATCTATCTTCTGGGACAGTAATTTTCCTTATTGGTTCATTCATTCAGACGTGTGTGTGTGTGTGTGTGTGTGTGTGTGTGTGTGTATGTGTGTACATGTATGTATGTGTATACACGTAGACAGACAAAGATAGACCAAAAGAGCTAGATCTAAATCTAGCTCCAGCTTTATATATGTGTATTCAAATACATGACATTTATGGAAGGCTGTATGTTTAGATTGTCTTGTTTTTAAATTATTATTTTTTTTAAGTTTACAAGCATTTATTCCTCTCCCTCATACAAAATCTGTGCAACTCCAATGATGACTGGACTGAAGTTGACTGGTGCTCTCCGTTTATGTGTTTTGCCTTTAAAACTCCTTCCATAGTCTTGATTTTTTTAGTAGTCTATCTTTTATAAGATCAAAGAGATCTCAGAGGTCACCTAGTCTAACCTCATTTTAGAATGACACCAGGGCTCAAAGAATAGAAGTGACTTGTCCGGGTCAGAGATGTAACAAGTGGCGCCCCCTAGATTCCAAGCTAAGCCTCCTGACTCCAAATCCAGATCTCTTTCTACTTCACCATGCTGACTCTAACACCAGAATGGTATAAATAAGACTACAGAGGGAATGTGTCCCTATGAGAAGGGCACTTTTCCAACGCAATAAAAGCATTCAAATACATCCACACCACCAAGATGATATAGAACTAAGAGCTAAATTGTATGATACAAATTTATAGGATCACAAATGTATAGGATCTTAGCAAACGGATGGGGGGGGCATCTATCAAGCTCTACTGCGTGCCTAGCGCTCTGCAGGAAAGTTAATAAAGACTGAGATAGCCATGGAAGGCAAGGAGAAAAAAAACAGGCCTTGAACTGGACCTTGACACACATACACATGAGAACACAAACACAAATACACACAGAGGAAAAGGAGGGGCCAGCTGAATAAGAATGTTCCACCAGCGTTTTGTGATTCAGGATTGCAGGCTGGATGAGTGTAATACTGAACAAAGTCATAGATTAAGAATTGGTTATTGAAGGCATGAGAATGAATGAGCTCAATTTCCCCCAGTATACTCTTCCTTGTTCTCACAAAAAGCCGTCACAAATAACTAAAATGATTTGTAAAGAAAAAAAGAAGAGAAAAAAAATCAGCAAAACCCATCCATATGTCAAAAAGTTTGAAAATATATACAAGGTACCACACCCATTGACCTCTGACCTCTGCAAAAAGTGAAATAGAGTGTTTTCTCACATGTCTTCTCTGAAGCTACATTTGTCTTCAGTAATTTTCCAACATTTCTTTTTGATTATCGTGAAGCTGTTCTTTCCATTTACATTGTAGTCATTCCTTCATTTGTCATCAAATCATGTAAATCTTTCCATGCTCCTTTATATTTTTCATACTTGTCATTTCTTACAACATACTAGTATTTTATTACATTCATGTACCACAATTAGATATTTGGTAATTGATGGGTTAATATTTTGGTTCCAATTCTTTGCTAAAGCGCTATAAATACTTCTGTGTATATGAAAACTTTCTTTTTATCAATCCTTCTTGAAGAATAAGCCTAATAGTACAATCTGGGTCAAAGGGCATGGACATTTTAACAACTTTATTTGCATAATTCCAAATTGCTCATTTTTAGCTCCAACAACAATGTACCAATATACATACATATGCATATGTGTGTATATGTGTATTATGTGTATTTTAATTGTTTATTCATCTTGGATACCAAACTTTTCTGAAAAATTTGATACAAAGATTTTTTTCCTCATTCAACTGCTTCTGTTCTGTTCCTAGATGCACTAATTTTGTTTGTGCAGAAGCTTTTTCAGTTTCACATAATCAGTTATCTATTTTATATTTTGTGATTGCCCCCTCTTTGTTTGGTTAAGAATATATCTCCTACCTATATCTGTGAGAGGCATATGATCTCTTTGTCTTCCAGTTTTTTATAGTATAATTTTTACCATTCGGAACATGTATACATTTAGACTGTTTAACGGAATAACGTAAAACAATGGTCTAAGCCTGATTTCTATCAGGCTGCTTTCTAGTCTTTATTAAATAGGATGCTAAGGGACTGTAGAAGAGCCAATGAAGGAAATATATCCTGGAACCAGGACTTTTAGTAGGCAATATTTGATTACTGTAGTTATATCTATTCAATGTATTTGAAAGTAATCATAGTGAACTTTAAAGACAGCTAGATGATAAAGAGGGAGAGAGATAGATCAATGATATATTAATATTATACTGGAGGGAGAGAGGGAGAGAGAGAGAGAGAGAGAGAGAGAGAGAGAGAGAGAGAGAGAGAGAGAGAGAGAGAGAGAGAGAGAATGAAGGAAGGTGTTTGCCTGTAATTCTGACTACTAAGGATGCCAAGGTTGGTAGGTCACCTATGCTCAGGCAGCCTGACCTATGATGGGTCAAAGCCCATCAAGTGTCTCCACTAAGTCTAGTACCAACATGGTGAGCCCCTGGAGGGGGATGGGGACCAGACTTCATAAGCAGAGTGAACCAGCCCAGGCCAGGAATGGAGAAGGGCAAAGCTTCCCTGTTTTGATGACTAATTAGTGGTGGGGTCAGCCAGTAAGTAGCTGCTGTTCTTCCAGCCTGGATGAAATAAGAAAACTGAAGGAAAAAAAATCTGCCACTCCGGCTTTTTCATTAATCCTTCCCAGTATAATGTTTGGTTACAGGCCACAATCTTTTCTCAGGGTGTAGAGCCACTCACTAATCAATGCCGTTGTGACTAGTTCAAAGTGGACAAACCTTACCCAAGAAAAATGAGGTGAATGTTAAGTAGCATTAGTCTTTTCTAGTGATAGAAAAATTTAGACAAGTCTA